ATCTGAGGATCATGGTTCCAAATCAGCCCAGGGTGAAAAGTCTATGAGACTCTTATTTCCAATAAACTACTCAGAAAAAAAAGCCAGAATGGTACTATGGCTCAAGTGGTAGAGTGCTAGCCTTGAGCAAAAGAAGTTCAAGGACAGCGCCCAGGCCCTGAATTTAAGCACCTAGGACTGGTACGTGCGCGCACACGCACGCTCGCGCACACACACACACACACACACACATCACCTGGGGAGCTTGGGTTTCAGCATAAAAATTTGGGAATACAGTGGTGTGGGCCCAAACATTCAGATCATAGCAGGGACAGAGGGAGACTATGGTATTGGAATGCATAGTCTTCTAGTTCCAGGTAAGAACAGACATTTTTGGACAGGCAATGTGCAGAAATGGTTGCCATAGCACCAACCTTGAGTTCTAAATGTATGCAAACCAAAGTAAGCAGTGTAATTGTGCACCAAATGGTCATTCTTTCACCCTCTTGTTGATTGGCTGCTTACTAATTTGTATTATGAGAAGGCTTGCATTTCATTATATCCATGCAGTAGATTGCTGGCCATTAATAGCAAGCCCATAGTTGCATTCAATTATTTAGGCCAATTTTTACTAAATTTTCTTTCAGAAAAAAATTACCAGAAAAGATGCAGAAAGCCCATCTGATTTTTTTTCAGAAGCCTCTGTCTTGATTTATTTTAGGTCAGGTAGGACTGTGACCCCTTTTGCAGGACTATAGTATATATATATGCATATATGCACATATGTATGTATATATATACATATATATTGTGTGTGTGTGTGTGTGTGTGTGTGTGTGTGTGTGTGTGTGTGTGTGTATGTGCTGGTACTGGGGCTTAAGCTCAGGGCCAGGATGCTGTCCCTTAGCTTTTTTCACTCAAGGCTGGCACTCTTCCACTTGATCCACAGCCCCACTTCTGGCTTTTTTTTGCTGGTTAGTTGGAAATTAGAGCCTTACTAACATTTCTGCTTGAGCTAACTTTGAACTGTGATTCTCAGATCTCAGCCTCCCGAGTAGCTAGGCATACAGGCATAAGCTACCTAGCGACAGTCTTAATCCAAGTGCTCCATAGAGGCAGCGTGTGCTACCTATGCACTTAACAAGGATCACAAGAAAAATTAGATGCTGCATTTCCCTTAGGAATCTGGTATATTGGTGGACCAAGCCAAAATTTTAATTTGGAGCACAATTCTGCAGAAACGAAAAGAAACTCTTTTCTAAATATGTTAATAAGAACACCCCCCTGAGCCAATATGCAATTGAGTGCCTTGCTTTCTAGTAATTTCATTTCTACAACAGCTCCACAAGCTGTTTCTCTCCATATTAAGATAACCTCAGCCTCTAGGGTGACTGTAAAAAATGATATTTTAATAATATGCTGCATCTATGATAAGAAATACTTAATGAAACCCTCTCATGATCATATGGTAACCAGCTTCAAAGAATTGCTTTCCAGATTTAAGGCAGGACTGTTGTGTTATTTGTGGCACTTATGGTTTTTGTGTTATTTGTGGTAACTGGGCACATTTTTTCCATATTGTCTGCAAAGAATCGTGCCTAAGGATGAAAGCTTAGAGGCTGCCACATGGTACAAACTCATAATCCCAGCCATTTGGGAGACAGAGATAGGAGAATAAGGTCTAAGACTGGCCCAGGAAAAAGCACGAGACCCTATCTGAGAAATAAAATAAAATAAAATAAAGTAGGCCAGGCACTGGTGGCTCAGAACTATAATCCTAGATACTCAGGAGGCTGAGATCTGAAGATGGCTGTTTGAAGCCAGCCTGGGCAGAAAAGTCCATGAGACTCTTCTCTCCAATAAACTGCTCAGAAAAAGTCAGAAGTAGAGCTGTGACTAGCCTTAAGCAAAAGAAGCTCAGGGACAGTACCCAAGCCCTGAGTTCAAATCCCAAGACAGGCACAAATTAATTAATGCCAAACAATAAAGAATGTATCTCAAGAGGAAAGTGCTTGTTCAGCAAATGCAAAGCCTTGAGTTCTATTCTCTGTCCTGTCCTGGGGAAATTATATATATATATATATATATATATATATATATATATATATACACACATATATATATGAGTATTTAGAATAATATCCAATTGTTATTTTATCCATGAGCCATAATTTCATAGCAGCTTTCACAGAAACTATAGGTCAGCAGTCTCTAGCAGGGAAATAATAAAAAGTTGTGCCTGTCATTTAAAACTTTCTAATAGCCACATTAAGAAAAAGCCCAACCAGGTTCTGGTGGCTCATAACTGTAATTCTACCTACTTGGGTCCTCAGCAGTCCGGGATCTGAGAACCACAGTTCAAAGCTAGCCTAGGCGGGAAATCCATGCAATTTTTATCTTTATTGAACCAACCTAAAGCTCTCCTGATGCCCTTAATGACATGAATTGGCATGTTGTAGAGAAAAACCACGTCCCAGAAAGGGCTTCTGGGAGCTGAAAGCTTGTAAGTGTTAGTCCTACTACTATAAAGAACTGGATCTTGCTGACAACCCAAGAACCTGCAAGAGAATTCAGAGCCTCAGCTCAAGCTCCCAAGTAAGAATGAACGTGAGCAGTGGCTATGGCTAACCCAGGAGTACCTCTGACCCTAGGAAGCTAGGAGACGATATATTCATGTTGTTTGGAGCTCCTAAGTCTGTGGGAATTTCTTACACAGTAATAGAAAACTAGCATACTGTTCTTCCCCTTTGAGCAGCATGGCTTCCAGAAGCCAAGGGGTCCCCAGGCTTTGTTGGTATATTCTGCCTTACTTTGAGGGCAATTGATTTGACTTCGTTTGGCCTGGAGCATCTGATTTTAAAGTTAAAAACCTCCTGTCCCAAGTCAGTCACTAGTGGCTCATGCCTGTAATCCTAACTACTCAGGAGGCTGAGATCTAAGAATTGTGGTTCAAAGCCAGCTCAGGTAGGAAAGTCTGTGAAACTCTTATCTCCAATGAAAACTGGAAGTTGAGTCCTGGCTCAAAGTGGTAGAGCGCTAGCCTTGAGCAAAATAGCTCAGGGACAACATTCAGTCCCTGAGTTTAAGACTCAAGACTGTCAGAAAAAGAAAAAAAAAGACTTCCTGTCCTCAAGAAATCCCTCAGGCAAATTGGGGTGATTGTCTACCCCACTATCCTCCAAATCAAATCCAGGGATGAAGAAGGAGGCCTTGAGACCACTCTCATAATTTGCCCCATTATCCTTCCCAGGAGGAAAAGAAATAGCCAGTGCGGATATTCAAGTCCTGCTCTCCAGAAAGGACAAAGAGCAGAAATAGCTGCTCCCAGTGTGAGCCCAGGCAGCTTGCTCCAGGATCATCAGACCATACCTCAATGCCAGATACTTTTGGGACTGTGTGGGCTGGATGTGTTCTCCTGACCTCATATGATAGAAGCATAATCCCCATTGTGACTGTTTGAGAGGCAGATCTTCAAGAGGAGATGCGTCACTATCAGGATCGCTCACGATCAAGGGTTGTGGGCTTCTCACAAAAGGGATGCTTCTCTTACAGTCCCTGGCTTATATTTCCTTGCCTTTCCACCTTCCACCATGGATTGATGCAACAAGAAGTCCCTTCAATAAGACACTAGACCCTCAACCTCTGACTTTCCAAGCATAAGAACTGTAAGGAGGGGCTGGGAAGGTAGATCAGTGGTAGAGCGCTTACCTTGCATGCCTGAGGCCCTGGGTTCGATTCCTCAGCACCACATAAGCAAAAAGAAAAAAGCGGGAAGTGGCGCTGTGGCTCAAGTGGTAGAGCGCTAGCCTTGAGCTGAAGAGCTGAGGGACAGCGCCCAGGCCCAGAGTTCAGGCTCCACGAACGGACCAAAAAAAAAAAAGAACTGTAAGGAACTTGTTCTTTATAAATTATCACCTGGTGATGGCCATTTTGTTATAGTAAAATTAAGCATACGCACATGCACATGTAAACACACACACACACATACACACATGCACCTTAAAACCTTTCCATCAAGCTGATATTTGGTCTTGAAAATCACATAGGAGGCCTAATGCTCTAGATCTCAGACCACACCAGACTCTAGGTTCTATCAGCTTCGCTCCCCATGTGGGCAACTGGGGAGAGCAGGGAGAGCTCACCTCCTCCCTAGTTGGTTGTGACCATCATGATACCCAGCTGGGGGAATCTGGAGCCCCTCTATTGCTGGACACCTTGATTGAGAGCTCAGTCCTCATGAGTTTAACTCCCCTACAAGACCTGACTTGCCTTTACTGGCTGTTCTGGATGCTTGACTGCTCCTGACCATTTTCCAAGCTGTGATTTTTATGCCACCTGGGTGACATCAATAGAAATCTGTTCACAATATGGGACACCATTGTTGTTTTTTTTAACATAGCCAACCATGATTCATGAATTTATACATTCAGTTATTCAGACAATATTTGATGACACCTACATGTGATGGGCTAGGCAATTTCTGCAACTCTGCCAAGGAATTATAGCACTTTTCAGACTGTGTGTACATGTGTGTTAAGCACAGTACTAGAATATGAAATACCCCAATCTAATCCACATGGAGTGTGTGTGTGTGTGTGTGTGAGAGAGAGAGAGAGAGAGAGAGAGTATTTGATAGATCAAAGACTCTTAAGGAAGTCTGTCTATCCACAGGATGCATAGCATATCTTTCTTTTTTCTATTGCTGGGTCATGAACTCAGAGCCTGGGTGCTGTCCTTGAACTTTTTTCTCAAGGATATCATTCTACCACTTGAGCTACACTTTTTTTCTTTTCTTTTTCTTTTTTCGTTTCTTCTTTTTGTGGCTAATTGGAAATAAAAATCTCATGGACTTTCCTACCAGAAGCTGGCTTCGAACCACAATCCTCATATCTCAGCTTCCTGAGTAACTAAGATGGTAGATGTGAGCTAGCAGCACCTGGCTTTAGTATACTTTTATTATAATCATTTAGGTGAAAGGAAATGAACTCACAATGCAGCTATGAAGAACTGAAGCATTAGCCTGAAAGTTGTCTGTGCATTTTATTTTAAGAAAACATGCATCTGGCCACAAAACACCATCAGAAAGCAAAGCAAGTCATGAAACATATAGAATGGATCTGAGTAATAAATCGGAGAGGCTACTGATGTGTTGAGGGGGAGGGAGCTGACACGAAATTGTCTTCTTCCTGGAAAAGCAAGGTTAACACATGCTGTGAGGCCCGGTTGGCCATTAGATTTACAGCTATCTATAGAGAAGAGAAGCAGGATCCTTTAAAGGGCTGAGTTATGACAACTCCTAGGTATTGATCAGCTGAGCCCGCACTCCACAGGGAGCTAGGGAATGAGAAGCAGAGGAGAGATGGTGGTAGTGATGGTCTTTATGTAGTTTTCAAAGTCACTTCCGAACAAGAGGATGAGGTAATAGTTAAGGATGCCAGCCAGGGACATGAGGACCAGGAACAAGATGATTCGCTTCCCAAATATGTAGCCAGGCGTGCTGTAAAAATAAGACAGATAATTGTAGGCCCAAATGATACTTGTCTCACTGTCAGACCCATGGAGCTTCAGCAACAGCGCCTTTCATTCAACAATGCTCCATTTCCCCACTTGCTCTCGCTGTAGGGCCAAAGCATCTTTGCTACACTTAAGTCTCTGAATCTATTTCAAAGCCAAGGTCAAAGAGACTGGATTTCAAAGCCCATTGGTATCAGGGCTGGATGGTACCCACTCCTCACTCTTCAGTCCTGCTGATTGTCAAGCAATTGGCCTGAGGTTTAGAAATGTTAACAGCTCATTAAGACCCTTTCTTTTTTTTAGGAGATATAGATATAGCTATAGATATATTTTTATGAAACAGAAGAGTAGCAGTTATATACATTAAGTAAAGAGTACATTTTCTTTTGGACAATGTCACTCCTTACCTGGCTCTCTCCCAATTTTCCCCCCCAGCCCACCCACAAGTAGTATAGTTCATTTTCAACATGGTGTCTAGTGAGTACCATTGCAGCATTTCTTTACCCTTTGTCTTTGTATTTCATTTTTTAATATACATTTTTATTGTAAAGATACTGTACAGAGGGGTTACAGTTACATGAGTCCATTTCCAGTCGAGCATTGTTACCACCTCCTTTGTTTTTCCCCTACCATCCCTTTCCTCCCCACCTCCCCGACTCCTCCCTCCCCCACCCCCTCCCCCACAAAGTTATAAAGTTCGTTTTCAACATAGTGTCTTGAACATCTCGTTGTCACAATGGGTCAACCTATATCCTTACTTCAGCATCGTGTTATTTCTCTTGCAGATAAGGGAAACCATGGGACCTATGTTTATTTGGGTCTGGCTTACTTCCCTTAATATAATTTTAAGGCAGGTGCCAGTAGCTCACATCTATAATCCTAGCTATTCAGGAGGCTGATACCTGAATATCAAGGTTTAATGCCAGCCTAGGCAGGAAAGTCCATGAGAATCTTATCTCCAATTAACCACCAAAAAGGCAGAAATAGAGATGTGGTTCAAGTGGTAGAGTGCCAGCCTTGAGCAAATAGCCAAGCAAGAGGGTGAAATGCTTTCCACACTGTCCCCTTTCACAAATGGTGGTCATAGAAGTGATCAAAATAAGCCAGAAATGCCAGTAGAATCTGAAAGGTACTTTAGTCTCTAGGGGTCCAATCTATACTCCTGAGGTTGCCTGGAAATAACTCACTGACATTGATGATAACCAAGCACCCAGTAACAGAGACAGTGGAGGGAGAAGGACCTTTTATATATATATACCATTTCTCTCTTTTCCTCCAGGACTTTCAATCCTAAACTTCTCAGGCAGGTACCAGCTGGGAGCAGAGAGATGTGAAACCCATGTTTTGTGTGTGTGTCTGTGTGTGTGTGTGTTTGTGTGCATGCACACGCGTGCATGCACGCGCTTCAGGGCTTGAACTCAGGGCCTGAGCTTGTTTGGTCAAGACTAGCACTCTACCACTTCAACCACAGCTCTACTTCCAGCTTTTTGGTGGTTAATTGGAGATACGCATTTCATGGATTTTCCTGCCAGGGCTGGCTTAGAACCTCAGCCCTCAGATCTCAGCTGCCTGAGTAGTTAGGATTACAGATGTGAGCCACTGGTCATTTTCTCTGCGGGATCCACCAGCTGCTGTGGCTGGGCCGTGTGAGCACAGCTAGTGAGTCTGTGGAATCAAGGTAAGGCTCCTTAAGATTCTTTTTTTTTGTGGGGGGGGGGGGTCCGGTTGTGGGGACTGAACTCTGGGCCTGGGCGCTGTCCCTCAGCTCTTCAGCTCAAGGCTAGCGCTCTACCACTTGAGCCATAGCGCCACTTCCAGCTTTTTTTTTTTTTTTTCCTGCTTATGTGGTGCTGAGGAATCGATCCCAGGGCCTCATGCATGCAAGGCAAGCGCTCTACCACTGAGCCACCTTCCCAGCCCATTAAGATTCTTAATGAAGACTTACCAAGGGTGTCCCTGGCAACCAGGACCTCTTTCTGAGGACAACCAGCTCAACTGAACAGGTCATTTCTTGCCATGGGAAGGCGCCCTCAGGGGTATAAAACTGAGAATGCACTGATTTCAAACTAGAGATTTTATCTATTTAAAGGGTATCCCAATCCCAAAGGTTCAGGATAGAACTCACAATGTTCCTAAAACAAGAGTTTAAAAGTTGCTCTGCAGTTTAAATATCTTCCTTCTCCATACAAAATGACCAGCAGAGGCATCTGCCCAGAGCTGATCAGAAAGCAAAAATTCTCAGGTCCTTCTCAGCCTAGGAATTAGATTCCACATCATCTTCCTTTCTTCATTTTCTTTTTTGAATAGTACTGGATGCGGGGAAGTTAAACTCAGCACTTCATTGCTTCATGAGTGCTAGGTAAATGCTTTGCCATTTAAGCTATATACCCAAGCCTTTATGCTTCTCTTATTTTTCAAATAAGACCATATATTTATTCTTAGAGTGGCCTGGACCACCATCCTCCTATTTATGCTTCTCACATGCCTAGGATGACAGGTGCATATAACCACACTCAGCTTTTAATTGGTTGAGATGCAGTGGTGGGGAGTGAGGAGCACTAACTCTTTTTCCTAGGTTGGCCGAGATCAACAATCCTCCCAGTAGCTACCTCCCTAGTAGCTAGGATTACAAGCATAAGCCACCCATCTGGTCACACTCTACATTTCAATCTGTTTTTCCCTACAACTCACACACATCTGAAAGTTTGAAAAGTATGGCTAGCTGGTCATTAGAGTTTAGATAAAGAAACTTACTAGCTCATGTAGGGAATGTTGGGTTCCCAACCAGTAGTGCTGTTGAGAAGTAATTGCATAATGAGGATGTTAACCTCATCAATAAATGAAGATCATAGCTGAAGGGATCAGGGCCCAGTCACAGGAAGTAGGTTGTGAGGCATGCCTTTGAAAGAAATATTTTGATCCCTCCCCTTCCTTGCTCACTCCTCCCCCCTTCCTCTCCCCCTTCCTCTCCCCCTTCCTCTTCTTCTTCCCCCTCCTCCTCTTCCTCCTTGTCTTTTTCCCTCTCCTCCCTCTCCCTCTTCTTCAACATCTCTCCTTCTTGGACACCAAGAGGTAAGTCTTTTCTACCACACTCTCCTACTACCGTAATATTCTGCCTCACCTCAGGCTCAAAGACACGGAGCCAGCACACCATGGACTGAAATTTCTGCAACCATGAGCCAATCAGCCAAAAGAAACCTTTCCTAATTTGTTTTCTCAGGCTTTTTGTCACAGCTATACACTGATGCCAGATTGTCCTTTTCTTTTCAGTTGCCTGTTTATAGTCATATTCATAGAGCAAGGAATTCTGTCCCCTTTTGGAGAACAACATTGATTCCAAATGAAAGTAGGGCCCAAACTATGCTCCTTCCAAACTCCTATGTGGAAGTCCCAACTGCTACTGTCTCAGAATACTGTAGAAAGGGACCCGGTCTTTCTTTAGCTTATTGTTCATTTGTTTTTAATTGAAAAGCAATAGTGGTTTGTATTTGATAAGATGCAAAGTGATCAGGGTTTTGGTTTTTGTTTTGTGCTGGTATTAGAGGTTGAACTCAAGGCCTTACACTCTTGTTGTATTCTCTCAAGGTTAACATTCTACCACTTGAGCCATACCTACCCTTTTTGCTGGTTCTTTGGAGATAAGCATCTAAGGACTTTCCCTCCTGGACTGAGATCTTCAGATCTCAGCTTCTGTGTAGCTAAGATAATAGGTGTGAGCCTCCAGTCCCTGTCGCCATGTGATATTTTGACGTATCTGCACTTTGTAGAACAATTCATTCAAGCAATTAACATAATCATGACCTCACTAATTTACCATATTTGGGGTGGGGGAATCATAAAGGTTTCTTCTTTTAGCAATGGTGAAATATACAATATATTTCTGTTCATTGTGATCACTGGGCACTGCCACAGTATACTAACCCCCTCCCATCTAACCAAATCATTGTACCCTCTGGCCAGTGGCTCTCTTGCCCCATCCCTCCTGGGGATTGGATCTTTGAAGGAGCAATACAAACCAAGTGAAGTTTAGAAGGAGCTGCAGTCTACACTGACTATTTCATTTAAGGAAAGACAATAAAGACAAACACACACACACAACACACACACACAACACACACACACACACACACACACACAAGTTCAGAAGGACCCAGACAAGACAATGTGAAGACACAAGAGGATAGCTGTCTATCCCAAGGGAAGAGATTTTAGAGCAGGGATTAAGAAACTTCTTCCATCGAGGGTCCTCTGGGTCATACAAAATTATCAGTAGAGGCTAATGGCAGGTAGCCAATGAAAAGCATTATGCGTCTGTCCCTCATATACTAAAAGATTTTGAAGGTCTTACAGTGCCTACAGTCCAATCATTTTCCATCCCTGCATTAGAGCAACCCATCCTGCTGACACGCATCTGGACTTTCAGTCTCTTGGATGTAGAGCCAATAAATTTCCACTATTTGAGCTGCTCAGGGTGTTTTGCTCTACAGCCTGGCAAACTGAACAGTCATCAGCTAGGTCTGGTAAAGAAGGAAATGTAGCTGGGCACCAGTGGCTCACACGTGTAATCTAGCTAGTCAGGAGGTTGAGATCTGAGGATCGGCAGTTCAACGCCAGCCTGGGCAGGAAAGTCCATGAGACTCTTATCTCCAATGAACCACCAGAAAACCAGAAGTAGAGCTGTGCCTCAAGTGGTAGAGCACTTGTCTTGAGCTGAAGAGCACAGGGATAGTACCTGGGCCCAGAGTTCAAGCCCCACAACCAAAAAACAAAAAATAGAAAGGAAAATGAAAAGCAACCAAGTAAGCAGCCATGTTTAGTCAGAGAACAGAGGGTTCGGGAAAGCTAAATTGTGAAAAGTCAGGTGTCTCAGATCTATCGCATGAATGAGGCACCATATACTTCCCTCAGAAACAAGAAAATGATTTGCAGATGTCTTAAGCTCAAGGTAAAACCGCAGTAGAAAGTGACAGTATGCCTCCTGAAGAAATGATATTACTTCAAGGAACACTCAAAGGAGTTAAGGCCCCAGGAGTTAGATGGGATGTTGTAACTCTTTTAGGGCCAGATACAGCATGGCTGGCAGACAGGGGCCTGGTTGTGCACTCTGACTCACGAAGCATGAATGTAGACCCAGCTCATACCTGTCAGTCTCTTGAAATTAGACATGGGGTTAGGGTTCTAACTTTCCTCTAGCATCTGCCAGATCTACAGATGATAGTTGCTCAGAACCCTGGATTAGCTAGATTTGGTAGCCATACCTTGGGGGAGGGTGTGGTGTCTGCCAAGTAAGATCCCATCTCAGGCTCAGGCAAAGCCACCAGGGACTGGTAGGAGGCAAAGGACAGAGGAATGGTTGGGAGCTTAGACAGTGCACCACATATGGATGGGATCATTAGCCCTGGAACAATCCAGACATGCCTTTTATTGTTTCTAAAACTTAATGTGTAATTCTAAATGGATGGAGAAGGTAAAAATTAAATTATAGGCCAGGCAGTGGATAGCTCAAACCTGTAATCCTAACTATTCGGGAGGATGAGACCTGAGAATCTCAATTCGAAGGCCACCCAGAAAGAAAAATCGATGAGATTCATTTCTAATTAACCACCCTAAAGCCAGAGGTGGAGGTGTAGCTCAAGTTGTAGAGTACTGGCCTTGAGAAAAAGGCTAAGAGATAGTACCCAAGTCCTCAGGTCAAGCCCCAGTACTAGCACACACACACAAAAAACTAATTATCAAGGATTTGTTGGGGCTAGATGTTTTATATCTATCTCATTTAAGTCTCACACCCACTCTGTAAGGACATATTACTATTTTCCAGCTGGGGAAACTGAACACAGAGGTACAGTGATAGGCCTAAGTCCACCCAGCTAGGAAGAAGCAGAATGGGAGCTCACACATACCCGGAGAATCCTGGAGTTCTGCTCATTGTACCACACTGACGTCCTATAGAATCCTTCTGACTTTGGAAACTACAATCTGGTTCTTAGCTCTAAAACAAATGGGCTCTCCACAAGCAGTGTAAAGTTTACATGCACATATAAAAGAACAATTCCCATCCGAAGTATGCTGGAAACGTCTCAAATGAGGCATTGCAGTATAGCAGAGGGTGAACGTACATGCTCAGAGACCTGAGTTCCAGCCCCAGCTTCACATTTTTTGACATCCAGCCAATCACCAATCTCCCCTGCCTTACCAGTGCCAACTCCCACCCCTATTCTTTTTTAGCGGGGAAGAGTAGTACTAGAGGTTAAACTCAGGGCCATGGCCTACCTGGTCACTATTGCTGAGCAACACCTTTATCCTTGGTTATTTTTGAGCTAGGGTCTCACTTCCTGCCTTGGTATGTACCCAGACCTGGAGCCTCCTATGTTTCAATTACTGCCCTAGCTGGAATGACAGGTACACATGACCATCCTCAGCTTCTTCCACTGAGTTGTAGTCCTCTGGATCTCTCTACCAAGGCTGGCCTGGAACTGTAATCCACCCTATCTTAGCTTCCCATATGGCTATATGCCCAGCTGTGGGTTGAGAAAGTGTCTTGGCAACTTCTCTGTTCAAGCTGATATCAAACCACAATCTTCCTGATTTGAGCTTCTCGAGTAGCTCAGACTACAGAAAATTACAATTTGTGTGTGTGTGTGTGTGTGTGTGTGTGTGTGTGTGATATTGGAAATTGAACTTACTTGTTAGACAAGCACTCTACCACTTGAACCATACCTCCAGCCTCCTTACAGGTCTCTGCTCTTCAATTTATTTTCACTTTAAATAGAAATGTTACTGTAAACCTTGCGGTGGTGGCGGTGATAGTGGTGGTGGTGGTGGTGGTGGTGGTGGTGGTGGTGGTGGTGGTGGTGGTGGTGGTGGTGTGTGTGTGTGTGCACGCATATGCATGCACAGGCATGTGTATTTGTATGCACGTGCCTGTGCGTGCCAATACTAGGGCTTGAACTCAGGCCCCAGACACTATCCCTTAGCTTTTTTCACTTAAGGTTAGCACTCTACCACTTGCACCATACCTCTGCTCTGGCTTTTTGCTTAGCTAACTGGAGATAAGAGTCTCATGGACTTTTCATTCTGGGTTGCCTTCAAGTGTTGATCCTCAGACCTCAGCCTCTGAGTAGCTGGGATTACAGGCTTGAGCCCCTGACAACTGGCTGAGAGGCCTTTTTATTTCATCGCTGGACCCACCCTGCCATGTAAGAACAAGTTATCATTACCTGGAGAAAAGTAGATGTTTTCCACCCAGGGTACTAGAGAGTAATGCCTGTTACTTAGGACAGTGTTGAGGATGGGAGGATGACAGAACTGCAGTTGAGAGGACAAATAGTAAACGCACAAGATAGATGGCGGAGGGGAAAGAACTCATATAAGAACAACTGACCCTTTTCCAGAGTACAGCCCGCTCCCCATCAGTGCTTCCTACAGCCACCGCGTCTGGAAGGCTCCTAGTCTCCCAACAGGGTAGTTCTTTTATCCATCAACCTCCTTCAGACATTGCTTACTATGTACCAAGCAAGGAAGAGCTCTCCGCGCCCTCCCCGCCTCTGTCCCCACCTCCCCCCACCCCATCCCATCCCTGAGGTGCTCTGTAAAACACAGAGCTGGAGAAACTAAAGCCAAAAAAGGAAGTAGTAGAGAAGGCCAGGGAATAGAGAAGCCTATGAGGTGACAGCCTTCTGGATATGGGGGTGGGGAGGGGAGTTTTCCCTTGGGTACATCAAGAACGGGGGCTACATTGGAGCTCAAATCATCTTCCTGCAGAAACATCACATATGTTATCTAAATCTAGACTGGCCAATCCAAGGGTCCTGAACAGAGACTGGTATGGGGCCACCCTGGGACTTTCTGTCTAGCAACGTTGTCAACGTTGCACTGGTGACTCAGCCACATTCTCACCACTGTGTCTGACCTCGTCCCACCTTCCTGTCGTGGGCTCCAGGAAGATCTGTGTACTCAAGACAATGTTTTGCAAGGTGGAAGCTGTAGATGTCATTTCACACAGTGAGCAACGACATGTTGCATCCTTAGAAATCCAGACATAAAAAGTCATTCCCATGCAGACTCTGCATGGTGAAAGAAGCTGGAATGCAAGGAGTGTGCAACACCGTGTCAAAACACCCTGTGGGGGTCCAGCACTATGCTGAGCAACTGTGGGATTTGGCGTTCTGGGTATTTTGTTTCGTTTTCAGTACTGGGATTGAACTCAGAACCTTGAACTCAAGTACTGACCATTTGGGCCGTGCCTTCAGCTCTTTATTTTGTGCCAGTCCTGGGCTTGAACTCAGGGCCTGAGTGCAGCCCTTGAGCTTATTTTTTTTTGCTCAGTGTGAATGCCCTACCACTTGAGCGATAGCTCTACTTCTGGCTTCTTTTTGGTGTTTAGTTGGAAATAAGAGTCTCATGGACTTTCCTGTCCAAGCTGGCTTCAAATCACAATCCTCAGATCTCAGCCTCCTGAGTAGCTAGGATTACAGTCTTGAGCCACTGATCCCCAGCTCTTTTAGTTTTAGGATATTGTTTTGTTTTAGGTGGTGGTGGGGGATTGAGCACTAGGGTCTTCTGCTTTTGCCCAGGCTGACCTCAGACTGTGATCCTCTTATTTCAGCTTTCCCAGAAGATGAGGTCACAGACATGTGTTTCTATCCATGGATAAAAATTGTTAGTGAAAAAAACTAGACAAGGCCCTGGTTGTATGTTCAGAGCACTCCAAGTTCAAAGAAATGAGGACAAGCAAGCCTCTCCCTCCATAGGCAACCCTCCTCTTTCACCCAAAGTTGTCTTGTAGAATATTGTTTTAAATCAGCACTCCTTCAGATGGAAAGGCATGAACTATGCCAGGTTCTGCCACAGTGTCCGGGACCCACCTCTGAGTTCTCTCTCCCAGATAGCCAACAAAGTACTTCTGCCTCACAAACAAGTACATCAGTCCAGCGAAGGCAGCAGGAACTAAGGGAGAAATGAAAACATCTGGTTTAGTTTTGCAGCCACTTAAACATGTTTTGTGAGTATAGTGACAATAAAGACTTAAAGCAATCAACAGTAGAAACAAGATCCAGCAGAGCCACAGAATCTGGTGGTAGAAGGTCATCTGAACTTCAGATAAAAGCCAGGGGGCCGGTAGACAATGGAGAACTTGAGTAACAATTATACGACCTTTGATGAGTCCTGTGGCATGATGTAGAAAATGTTGTTTAGCTGTCATGTCCTGTGAATCCTTTCAACATAACCAGTATCAACATGTCTAACTTTAGATGTGAAAAGTTGGGCTCAAGTAGCCATAAAGGTTGTGTAAGACCATCATGTAGTAAGCACGGGACAGAACTTGAACTTGAGCCCAGCTCTGGGACTGGTTGTCTTGAAGAATAGCGTAGCCCTGGGGCTTCCCACAGCAGAACAGTGGTTCCATGCATAATTGTTACTGTCTGGAGAAGATCTCTCTGGTGAAGGAAATTCCCTTTGTATTTCAGCCTGTTGGTAAGAAGGTACAAGAGGCACCCCAAAAGCCCCCTGAGGTCCTGAACTTGGAACTGGGAGTCTCTGTTCCACAAGCGAAGAACCAGAACTGGCACTAAACTCACTCTGGGAATGGACAAAGGCTGACTACAGCTTCCAGGTAACAGGGAGTGGGGGTGTGGGGTAGGCTTGTAGAAATGAAAGCATTCAGGCCTTACGACTGGCAAAAGAAAAAAAAAGAAAAGCTCTGTTCTGACTTGCTGATCCATTTCCCTGTGGATGGGAACTCAACTGAACAGGACCAAACAGATGCCAGGTATAAAAAGGGCATACACCATTATTTTCTGTGGGGTACTGGAGAAGCACCCATAGTAACCTGTAGTAACATAGTAGTAACCTGGGCCACCTGGACCATCAACTGGGAACATATTGAGACCCTAAAATTCTAAAATTTAAGCACACCACTTGTCTCTTTGGGCCTTGGGGTCCTGCTATGTAAAGTAAGGACTTTAGGCTAGAATGATCTCTTAGAATCCTTCTAGTTAAAATATCCTACAATCTAATTGGGTAATGATGACTCATGTCTGTGATCCTAGCTACTTAAGAGATCAGTTGTGTTTTGAGTATAGCTGAGTAAAAAGTTCATGAGATTCCCATCTCAATGGAAAAAGTCAGACATGGTAGCACATGCCTGTCATTCCCAGGTAGAGCCAGAAGTGAAAATAAGTGGCTCATGCTCCAGAACACCCTGAAGATAAACCAAAACCCTATCTCAAAAATAACCAGAGCAAAGAAAAACGGGAGGCGGGGAGAGCTGGAGATATGGAGCCCAAGAAGTAGAGCATCCCATAGCAAATACAAAGCCCTGAAATCAAACTTGTGTACCACAAAAATGAATAAATAATATTCTATATTCATAGCAAATAGCAATAATCAGGGCTGACTGATGCATTTGGGCCAGGCAATGTCAATGCTTGTTTTGACAGAATATGCATATTCTGAGGTCTCCAAAACACTTTTAGACATCTTTTGAACCTACCTAGTTAGAGATACTGTGGACTCATCTAGCTCATATGTCAGCTAGACATGAAAGGAATCATAGTTCCTAGTAGGAGCATAGTTTGATATGATTTTTTTCAAATAATGCCAGACATGATTCTTGCATCACTCAGGATAGAAAATAGAAAATAAATGGTAAGCTAATGGCAGCTCTACAGGCCCAGGGGAACGCTACACAGTGCCCCTTGGGTGGCTCCTGCTAGCCTCCCCTAGCCTTCATCCTTCCTGGTACCTTGTTCTTGGCATCCATGTATCCATTTGTCCACTTTTCCCTGATCCATCTTGACCATGAGTGTACATTTCATGTTGTCTCTGCTTTATTCGGCCCCTCAATATACCAACCCTATGCCTGTATATCCAGGCACAGATCTCAGTAGATGGAAATTCAATGTCTATTTAATATGCAAATTTAGAAAAATACAAGAAGATGCTTGTGAAAACTCTGGAATTTGGGACTGAAAGATCTGGGTCTTAGTCTTGCCCCTGTGGCCTGACAGTTAGGTCATTTGAACAGATGACTTTCTCTTCCCAAACAAAGGATCCTCACAGGTAATGAGAGGGATTGATGTCCATTCCATATACTTTCCAGAGTGGGGAGAAAATGACAGGTTTAAGTAATTCTTCAGCAGATGGCTCATGGCCTCTTTGAATGGGCCTTCCTGGAACTGATCACCAAAGCTGACAGATGCCAGCGATGGCTAAGCCGACATGCTAAATCTCCAAAATCAACCAATAACTATGACTCTCATTTCTATTTAATTTGTGTACATGTGTGTGTGTCTCTACTGGGGCTTAAACTCAGGACCTGCATACTGTCCTTTGGCTTTTTCTGCTCAAGGCTGGCACTGAACCATTTGAGTCACACCTCCACTTCTGGCTTTTTGCTGTTTAATTGGTGATAAGCATCTCATGGACTTTCTTGCCTGGATTGGCTTTGATCTGCGATCCTCAGATCTCAACCTCCCGAGTAGCTAGGATTACAGGCTTGAGCCACCAGCAGCCCCTTGCTCCATTTAATTTTGAATCAACTCTGGGACCATCTATTCTTCAAGGGCCACCACGCCAGGAGCTTGTTAGCAGAAGAGCTAAGCAACAGCGAGTCCCAGAATAGATGCTTCAGGCGCTGTCGTTTATATGTCTTTGTATCTGAGCACTCTCATTTATAATGCCCTTGTATCTGAACTAACACTGCTTAAGGATTCTGAGTCACATTTAGCCTTAAACCACCCCTGACAGCACAGCCGCTCTCAGCCAGCCCCCAGGGAGCAAGTATTAGCAATGCATTATCACTGGAGGAGAGCCACCCAGAGCATGCTGGGAACAGCAGGTCCTAGGGCTCTCGGCTCTCCTGGGCTTCTCATATCAGAGCTGGAGGTCAGGCAAAGGCTTTTCAACATAGAGCTTGCCTTTTTAACCTCTGTGAGATGCACATTCTAGAAAAAAAAAAATTCTGAGTTACCTTGGCTGCAGAGTAGCCCCGCAGTCCAAAGCACCACTAGAAAAGTGGGGTACGCGTCCACACAGTTCTGGCTGTCAACAAGAAAGAGAACACGTGTTATTGTGATATGCGCTGAAAATTACCTGGAGCCCCAAGTTAGTGACCAGCAGCACTGTGCAAGAGTCACAAATCCCTTTGATCACTCCAGTTACATCCTCCCACTAAGACCCACATAACAGCCACGTCAGCAACACACTGGCAAGAAGAAAATACATGTTAAGGATCCATTAACTCGGCTCCTAGAGGGAAGCCATCAAAAAGCTTGGTTTCCTGATGTATTCACCTTGGCAGCCTTCCCATTCCTGGCTGCATCCGTGCACTTCTTGGAACTGAAAAGTGAGCAATGCTGACAGCAGGGTGTGGTCCCAGTCAGGGTATGTGTAACTGGGGGGAAGAAAAGCCTGACTAACGACTTCAGTATAGCAGACACACATCAGCAGAGCAGGCTAAGGAGGAGAGCAGTCTCTGAAGCATGAAAGAAATCAGGATCCATTCACAAAAACTGATGGGAGAAAGTTAGCATGCCAATGGCTTGATTCCTATGTGTCAGAAACTGTCCTTACCTCACATATAAAGTAGTTCAAGCTGGGTATGGAGCTCACACCTATAATCCTATCTCCTTCGGAGGCTGGGTGGGGGTGGGGATACCTTGGACCAGGCACTGAGCTCTCAGTTGATGTCTATTGTTACCTGAAATCCACCCTTTTCCTCTGAGTACACTAGAGCACTCTAGGAGTTTCCTCAAGCTTGAATAACCAGTGGCCACAAATTTAGTGGCTTAAAAACAATACAAGTTCCAGACCCTATCCGCAACTGTGCTCCTTCAAAGCTCACTCCCAGGCAGTGCATCTGGCCCCAGAATTTCTCCTGAACCTGTAGCATCTCCTGTCTGAGATCTTCCCATCTCCATCCAAGTCCTAGGGCTGGAAGGCAACTGGGAAGAGAATGGAGGAAAGATATCCCAAGAATTAAGCAACAGGCATACTCACAGCTTGATTCCTGTCAGGCAACCATGAGGAATTAAACCATATGGGAAATCTATCCTCCTTGCTGACACCCAGCCATCACCTCTGGCTTCATAAGACACTCCAGCAAGAAGAGCCACAAGCAAGAAAATCATCACTAGAGAATCACCTGCACTGGGGTTATCTCCAACAGAGAAAGAAGAAAAACTAGGAAGGAAATGGAACAGAATAGAAGAATGAATGGACGGATGGATGGATGGATGGATGGACGGATGGATGGACAGATGGATGGACGGATGGGGGAAAGGACAGGAGGAGTGAAGAAGGCAAGGGGAGAGAAGGAACATAATTGTCTCCCTCCACTGGTGGACTGAGGTCACAGGTCCCCAACTCTGTTTCTCCCATTCCTTCCTGTCCTGTTACATTGTGTGTTCAGCAGGTATGAATGGGGACTAGAAATGGGAGCAGGACAGACCCAGCTCCTGCAGCCCAGAGGCAGGAGAAGACACTAAAGATGAAATGTGCACATTCATTCATGTATTCAGCCATGAAGGGTTGCACACGGGATCCCCGCCAAGCACCGTCAGGGGCTGGGATGACCACTCTCCCTATGAAGTGTCCATTCTGGAAGGGGGATTCCGGCAACACACAACACAGAAAGTATACTATTTGTAAGCTGATGATAAGAGAGAGGGAGGGACAAGGCAAAGCAGGGGAAGGGGAGGGCTGGGGAGGTTTGCGATTTTAACAGAGGGGTTTGTGATGAGATGACATCAAGTAAAGACTCAGAAAGAGAAGAGGAAGTAAGATAAGCAATTAATTATCTAAGAGCATTTGAGGCAGAAAAAAATTGTGCATATATTACATATGCAAAGGTCCTGAGGTATATGCACAAAGGTGGGTCTGGAGTGTATAAAGAATAGTAAGAACACTTGGAAAGGAATGAATGAAGGGGTATGTGCAAAAAAATAAAGATGGGATCAGGCAGGCCCTAATTAGGAGATGAGATCTATAGGTCTCTGTGAGGATTTTCATCTTTACTCAAAGGAAAACAGGAAGTGAGGATTTGAGGCAAAAAGAAGAAAAGAAAGAAGGAAGTAAAGGAAGAGAAACATACAAGTAATCATTTTTAGAGTGTACTTGTTTCCTGGAGCTTCTGTAACAAATCACCGCAATCTTAGTGGCTGGAAGAAAAAAAATACAAGTTCCAGAGGATAAAAGTCTGAAATGGATCTTCCTGAGCAAAATGAAGGTGTGTGCCAGGTGGTGGTGGCTCGTGGCTGTAATCCTAGCTACTCTGGAGATTAAAAATCGGAGGATCACAGTTCTAACTCAGCACAGGCAGAAAAGTACTATGAGACTCTTATTTTCAACTAATTATCCAAAAGCCAGAGGTGAAGGTGTGGCTCAAAGGGAAAAGCATCAGCCTTGAGTGAAAAAAAAAAAACAAGCAAGGCCTTGAGTTCAAGCCCCAGTACTGGCACCAAAATTTATTCATGAATTAATTAATTGAAGTCAAGGTGTGGCAGGCTTATCTTTATTCGTCTCTGTGGAGAATGTCGGGTTCCTGGCCTCTCTCCCCTCTGCAGATCTCCAGCTTGTTTTGACTCCTGGCTGTTTCCATTTTCAGATGTTAAACCTGCCTCCTCCTTCTCCACTTAAAATACCCTGAGGATTACACTGAGTCCTACCCAGATGATCCAGAATAACCCCTAGTGAACAACCAGCATTCTTCCTTACCAGGGAAATGTAATGTATTGGGGGTAGGGAGTGTCTCAGGATTAGGATGTGGGCATGTACTGAAGGCCATTATTCTGCCTACCACAGAATTTTGTCCCTGTTGTAGATGACAAACCCAGGCTCAGAGCCATAAACTAACTCTCCCCAGGCTCCCAACTAGGGGTGGAGAGGTCAGGCTCCACACCTGGAGGATCCATCACCAAAGCCAGGCCTGAACCTCTGAGCAATCTAAATTAAACACTAGGTGGCCTCATGAGGAATTTGCAGTCCACATGGAGACTATAAATAGACCTAAAGTGTGGAACGCAATGGAACAAGACATGAAGAGCTGAACATGGGGAAGAGCACATGACTAGAACTTAGTCCTTATTCTGACTTTAATCAGCTGCTCACCAAGGGCAAAGCATCTTTTTGTTTTTGTTAGTTTGTTTGGGGGGGGGGGGGAGTGTGTGAGAGAGTATGCTGGTACTGGGCTCTTGAACTCAAGTTCTGGGTGCTCTCCCTGAGCTTTTTGCTCATGGCTGGCACTCTACTACTTGAGCCACACCTCTACTTCTGGCTTTTGGGTAGTTAATTGGATAAAAGCATCTCACAGACTTTTCTGCCTGGACTGTCTTCAAACCTCAAGCCTTAGCTCTCCGAACTTGAGTAGCTAGGATTACAAATGTGAGCCATGGGTGCCTGGCTAAACTAATTCTAATTTTCTAATTTTCTAACCTACAAAATTAAGAGATTGGAAACAATTCTAAGACTCGCTGAAGATCTGAAAGTCAAAAGTCTAAAGCAGGGATTCTCAAGATGTTGAAAGGAAAATCGTCATACAAACCACTTAAAGATAATAAACTAAAATAAACCAAGATAATTAATTGATCAATTAACCAATGAGGCATGGGTTCTCGAGGATGGTCTTGAGAACTTATTAGAAATGCAAATGCTTGTCCACCTCAGACTTCCAGAATGAGAAGGAGCTAGAGGAAGGTGCTGAGGGATCTATTTCAAAAAGCTCCAGGAGTGATCCTGGCTACAGCATGAGGACCACTAGCTCATGGCTTGCAAACTCTCTGAGCAAAGATGCTTTCCTAATTGCTCAGGTCTCAGGCCTCCATGGCACCACTGAGAAATCTGGTGCTGTGGTCTGGATCTTAGTAGTATCTTCCAAAGTTTCATTTGATGCTATTAATGGTGTTGGGGAATCTTTAGGAGATGGGGCACAGAGTCAAAGACCCACAGCTCATGGAAGGTGCGTCCTGAAAGGATTGTGGCAGCCTGCCTGGCTTCTCTCTTCTTCCTTTCCCTCCTCTGTCTTGTCCTGCACTCCCCTACCCGCTTCCTCCCTTGCCTTTCTCCTTCCCCTCTCCCTCTCCTATTATTTCAAATAACCTTGTTTCCTAATAAAACATGGTCTGTCTGGGACAGAATGGATCTCTCCCAACTGGCAGAGAAGAAGCTCTTCCTCTCTTCCTTGGGCTAACACAAGCCAGTCCTATTCAAAATTACCAGTGCTTGCAAAGCCCCAGGTCCACATGCCCCTCCTTGAGAACAGGAGCCATAGAGCCACTAGGGGGACCCACAGGGCCTGTTCACAATGCCAGGGCTGCCATTTATTGGCTATGTGAATGTGCATGCATTTCCTGGCCTCATAGACTCTCCAATTTCTTCCTCTATAGGATGTGAAGGAAGATATATGTAATTGCCTCCTTTGCCATTGACAGACTAGAATGAAAACAGTGCCATGTGGCTTATGAGAATCGTTCAATGAACAGAGGCAATTATTGTTTCAATATCCTCCTTCCTACCACGGTGGAAATGTCCTGTCCTGTCCTGACACATTACACTTCTCTGGATTTTTGTTTGAGCTTTATGCCATTCTTTTCTTCAAACCAGAACTGTTAACCTCACTTCTACTCTCATTTCTTGAAATCTAAACTGGAGCTGTTAGGCAGGTCTCACAGGAATTCTCTGTGCTATGTCTAATTTAATGCCCTACATGCTCACTGTCATGAACAGAACTTGTGCTGTTTTCTCTTTCATTCTTCTCCACTTTCAAGAGTAAAATGCAGGAACACTGTAATGGGGGGGGGGGGGGGGGGCATGTGTTTATGTGTGGTGGGAAGGAGTGCTGAGTAATTGAACCCATGACCTTGCACATTTTAGGCAAGTGCTACATCACAGAGCCACTACTGTTCTGTTAATTGGTTTGAATTAATTTCATTTAAGTAAGGAAGTATTACGACTAAGAGCAGTATAATAACAATATTGGTGCAAACCAATAGGACCATTACAAACGCATTATCTTCAAATAATTGTTCAAATCTACACACCTTGAA